CGTTTTCTAAAACTTGTCAAATACCCTATTTATGAATAAACTCATCATAACATTTTATCATAATTTAACTTCATAATTTATGTTACTCCGTGATCATAGATAGCGCTTGCAACAGTGCCGAAATATATGGGGCCTAAAAATATGATACATATTAAATTAAAATATGTTAAATGACTTATCATTTCATTTCATTACACTGTTATAAATGTTTTATGTATCATTACCAAAATGTAATTAAATTGTGCCTCTGGCTTTCGTTTTCCCCGACTTTTAAGACTAATTTATAATTGCCAATTATTAATTTACTTTCAATGACTGTTCTGTTCAAAACGAACTTTCGAGTCGAATGGCTTCTGTAGTTTTTTCAACCAATTTTCAATTAATGTACAATTATACATTACTGGCTCTGGATACCGTTTAAGAATATCTAATTAAACCAAATCACACCCGAGTTACTCTGAATAAAATCACAATTCATCGAATCGCTATATCAATAATTGGACCAATTGAATTAATCACCAATCTACTGTGTGCTCGTTAAAATTGAAACGCTCATTTGAATCTGACCGAAATCAAAGGTCATCGGAATCCCTTCATTTAAGTACAGTTATGAACATATATCAGTGGGTACAATTTAATATTAAGCCCGTATTATAGAAGGCGACTCAAGCAGCATTTAAACTCGAATCACGCAAAGCTAGTTTTAAGTGTAAATCACTACTTTATTCGGTCGCGTTTTAAGAGCAAATCAGCTAAAATTAGAACCAAAAATCGTTTTATAGCGGGTTAACGGGGTTGTTACCATGTACCTTGTTATTTATGAGTCTCCGATATTTAATTTTCGGCACTGTTGCAAGCGCCATGATCACGGAGTAACTGAAGTAATTGCGGGTAGATGTTATTGTCAGACATATCGGTCTACCCTCTAACGTCGTCTTTTACTGCGCTCGATACCCCTACCACTGGTCACATTCTCACTATTCACTCGCACTTGTTCCCGACACACAATACTCACAGTATCAGATCGCGGAACGACACTTTTTTGATTTTTGCGGTTTTTACACATACGAACCACTGGATTCCAGACATTTGACAATTTTAACCCATCCTCACGATTGAAATTCTTGTGTTTGGTTATTTTAATCGCTTCCCTGACCAATCTTGGTATGTAGTGGCGTTCTGTCGAGATAATTTGTGAATTATTTAGCTCAATCCTCTGATTAGGAATCTCCGAAATATCGGAGACTCATAAAAAACAAGGTACATGGTAACAATCCCGTTAATAGCTATAATGTTAGTGACCATGAAAGTTTAAAACAATATAAAACTCATTTTGAAGGGGCCGATAAAATGTGTCTATTGGCTAAGTATGTTTCCATTACACTTAGAAAATAACCAACATAGCGGTATGTCAAATTTCATAAACTCGCGTTACAACTTTATTTGGGACTATAATACATATTCTGTTCTTAAGAATGGTGTCGACCATACAAATATCAAATCTTTTCTTGAGCGTAGATTTTGACGTAATTGTCCTCTCCCGTGTCTTCACCCGTTACGCAGCTGAGTTTTTAATCAATGTTTCAAAAGGGACTCGAACGAAGAATAATTGTCATTGTTCTGAGTGTAAAATAATCAAAATCTTGAACGTTTGGAAAAGAAAAGAAAATATTTACACAAATTGAAAATATACAAAGAAGTCAGTCAGTCACTAATACCATAATCACTTACGAGGTTGGCATAAATATGATGTTTTTTTATGTTTAAAGGGTGACAAACAAGCGAATGGCCTGCCTGGGGGCCATTCGCCTCACGGGATTGCTTAGGAAAACGCTATCGCTTTCGATTTCATTTTGTTATTTCTAGCCGCCTGAGGTTTTCAAATGCCTCGCACTCTTTTTTTTTACTTTTGCATTGGTAAAAACAATATTAAAGAAAATGAGCGTAAGGTATTTGAAAACCTTCGGAAGTCAGAAATAACAAAATGAAATCGTAAGCGATAGCGTTTTCGAAAGCAATCCCGTTAGGCGATTGGACCCCTGATGGTAAGCGGCCACCATAGCCTATAGACGCTTGCAATACCACCCTAACCCAATACCCTACCCTGTGGAGCACAAAGCTCAAAAGAAAAGCCAGAATCTACCAATTAAAGAAACATTTTCACAACCCAAGACATTAGAGTTACTTACATGTAAGCGATTTTAACATGTTGCTTACATCACACTAATATTATAAAGGCGAAAGTTTGTGAGTATGTGAGTGTGTATGTTTGTTACTTCTTCACGTCTAAACGGCTGGAGCGATTTTAATAAAATTTGGTATGAAGTTAGCTGACACCCTAGATTTACACATAGGCTACTTTTATCCCAAAAAATGTTAGGTTCCAGAGGTATTTTCAAGAAACTAAGTTAACGCAGACGCAGTTGCGGGCGACCTCTAGTATAAAATATACGTTATCACACTAATATTATAAAGGCGAAAGTTTGTGAGTTTGTGAGTATGTGAGTGTGTATGTTTGTTACTTCTTCACGTCTAAACGGCTGGAGCGATTTTAATAAAATTTGTATGGAGTTAGCTGACACCCTGGATTAACACATAGGCTACGTTTTACTGTGGGAAAATATCCCTAATAAACCGCGGGAAACACCGCAGGGCACAGCTAGTTTAAAATAAAATAAACATAGATAATTTAGACCCTTGTGTCTCTTCCGCGTAAGTACTGAGGTAGGTTCATCGTAATCCCTCAATCTAAACACGCTTTCGGATGTTCCTAATCCGCTCGCCTGTGTTTTCTATTCGATGCGTAAGAGCCCGTTCACATAAGACATGGTCTCCGTTTTACTGGTCTCTTTTAGCGGTTCCTTTTTTTTCATCGATGGCGTTGGCGTTGTAAATGAGATTTAACACATGACACAGTATTCTGTATCACTACATAGTATAAAGCAAAGTCGCTTCCCGTTGTGTCCCCATGTCCCTATGTATGCTTGCATCTCTAAAACTACGCAATGGATTTTGATGCGGTTTTTTTAATAGGTAGAGTGATTTAAGAGAAAAGTTTATATGTATAAAACATGCATAATATAGTAGAGAAACAGTGATAATTTTAGAGGTTTTTAATGTAAGGTCGTAAATAAACACATTTTTTGCGCTTACATTGCAAACGCTGCTTGAACCCTACAAGATAGATCAAAATAATGTACTACAATATTGTACACCTTAAAAAGGTCTACAAAAAAGTCCACAATGGTATATGTCTATCTCTTAGGGATAACCCATAATAACCATTTTTTATCCTATACTTTTTACGAGAAATAATAGATTATTTACGAAGCGATTTTCAGCAATCCCTACATTCATCCATCCCTATCCAATTCAGTACCTTAAATACATTGTACATTTAATATAGACAATTTGGCCCTTTAACGCATGTAATTTAAATCAAAATTTTCGAAGATATTACAGATTTCAAATGCAGGGACATAGCGGTTCCGACGCTACCGGGCGGGGGTCTTGGCGGCGGCGCGGCGGCCCGTGCCTATTGTAATTAGGTATTAGAAGAATGTCTTTGTGTATAATACAAGCCTGACAACAAAAACTATAGTCTACACTACAGCTCTACACCGAAGCGAAGCGAAGGCGGGCCACTAGTACAGACACACATCACGCCAAGAGTTGGTTCTGCCAATAGCGTCGATTCTTCCTTCTCCGTTGGCGATAGTACCAATACAGCACGACTACGTCCATCCAGTACAGGTCGCGGCACGTAACTCCAGTGCTGAACAAAACGCGGAGGGGATAGCAGCGCATGGGTACGACTGGAAAGCCAATCGGTGCAACGCACGCCTTCCCGCGCACCTCATTTCCCCCCAAGACATCTTAATTTTTGCTTCTGCGCAGCGGTCAGCGCTAGAGTTCCGTGCTGCGACTTAATTGAACGTAAAATCAATAACAAATGTGAAATTTATCCATTCTATATAAATGCTCCTGTATAGGAAGTCATGTTTTCAAGCTTTCGCGGGGAACCGTTTTGTAACTAACAACGTAAACACTACAATTGTAATGTCAAACTGTCAGTTTGACAATAAAGTCAATTTAAAATGATCCCTGTTACACTACACAATTGTCGTTTAAGTTAGATACGGACAATTGATTATTGTAACAAAATGCCTATCTTTCTAATGATATAATGTCGATCCAGATATGTCGAGTTGGTGCAATAGGCCTTTGGTAGAGCATTGGCGGTATACTGCGTATTTCCGTGTGAACATCGTATCTATTGACGACGTAGTGGTAGTTTACGTTGAACGTTATACGGTGCCTATGTGTGAACGGCCTGTAATATCAGTAGACCGTGCGACGGCCGACACTGTAAAGAAAACAGATAAACGAGGTATATATATATATATATATATATATATATATAATATCTCTAAGGAAAGAAAAATAAAATGTATCTTGAAAAGTGGTTTTATATATTTTAATTTATATTTGAAGTGTCTACTTTATAGAAGGCAGGGCTAAAAAAAACTAACGTCTAGCTTTTATTTTTGGTTCTCAGAATATCTAATTAACAGTTTTGAATTCAGGTAAATTAGGCAAAATTAAAATGAAGCTCATCTTGGAATACCTATAAGTGTATTGAAGTTTTTGCTTAATTTTACGCGCGTTCTCAAATTAAAATTATCGTTAATTAAACTAAATATTCATTTCAAAGAAAAGCCCAGTAGATATGAATTTGTAATCGAGATATAAAAATCTACCAGTTTAAATGAAATAAAAACTTGAGGTAATTTTCCTATTTTGTTCCTGAAAAAATCCTTATTTATATTATTTTATTACTTGAGATAATGGGTCTATTTATACAATTCCTGATGAACATTATTTAAGGGATGGGGCGAATGGATCACGGAAATCTGAAGGGCTTTTTCAACCAAAATTATGTCAAATATCCTAATTATAAAAAAAGTTATTTTTACATCATAATCTTTCATTGTCCCCAGATCACAACAACGTATCCACGCCTCGGTTCTCCGGCTCCTCATGGCTCGCGTTGCGCGCCTTACGCGGCGCCTATAAACGAGTGCGTTTGCGTTTGCGCGTGCGCCCTGAACGAACCAGAGGGGTGCTGCTTCTGACGGGAGAACATGACGACCTGTCTGGAGACTATCTAGCTATAATGCTGAGGAATGGCCATGTAGAACTAAGGTTAGTTCTTTTTATCCGTCATAAGCTCCTCAATGACAGATCGCTGCGGTTCTCCGGTGCTTTGTGGCTCGCGTTGCGCGTATAAACGAGTGCGTTTGCGCGTACGCGTATGCGCCCTGAACGAACCAGAGGGGTGCTGCTTCTGACGGCAGAACATGACGACCTGTCTGGAGACTATCTAGCTATAATGCTGAGGAATGGCCATGTAGAACTAAGGTTAGTTCTTTTTGTCCGTCATAAGCTCCTCAATGACAGATCGCTGCGGTTCTCCGGTGCTTTGTGGCTCGCGTTGCGCGTATAAACGAGTGCGTTTGCGCGTACGCGTATGCGCCCTGAACGAACCAGAGGGGTGCTGCTTCTGATGGGAGAATATGACGACCTGTCTGAAGACTATCTAGCTATAGCTAGACAGACTCCAGCATTATAATGCTGAGGAATGGCCATGTAGAACTAAGGTTAGTTCTTTTTATCCGTCATAAGCTCATCAATGACAGATCGCTGCGGTTCTCCGGTGCTTTTGGCTCGCGTTGCGCGTATAAACGAGTGCGTTTGCGCGTGCGCCCTGAACGAACCAGAGGGGTGCTGCTTCTGACGGGAGAACATGACGACCTGTCTGGAGACTACCTAGCTATACTGCTGGAGAATGGCCATGTGGAATTCGGGTCAGTTCATCTTTAATGACCGCAATATGTATAATGTTATTTCAATCCACTTTGTGCCTTACTCTATTGTAATAACAAAGAAAATGACAGCAATAACTGAGGAAGGCGATTAGTCTTTATTAGGTCATTAATGTTACCAGGCTTTCCATATACTTTTATGATAGATATTATAGGGAGACGTTGACGTTGTTTTTCATACTGTTGTGCGTGAAAACCCTTAGAGAAGGCCTTTGTCCAGCAGTGGCTGTGCAGCGGTTTAAAATTTTCTCACGAAAGTGGTAATGGTAAATCATTTATTATCCAAAAAGCCTCATCAATTTGGAAACTTTGATATAATTAAATTAACATTGACGAAATATTACCAAACGTAATTGTACCTACTTTCTTAACATTTTATAAACACGATTTTTTGGATACTGTAGAAACTGACACTGTTTAAACAAAACATTTAAATAGAGCAACGAAGATACTATCTACACTAAGATGCAAAAATATAACAAGTGAAAAAGACACGAAATGAAAGAAGCTGATGTATTTTACATTTTTTGCTATTCAACACAGCTTTGTCTTGTTCTTATTTGACTTTATTCATCTCCCGGGCAAAGAGATATCTCTAGAAGCTCGAGCTTCGAATGAAAATATTGCGGAGTCGTCGAAACATCTTGCTTGAATTGGATCTTCTTTCTAACCGATGTGATTAACTTCTCTGTTCTTTATTCAAAATGAAATTCTTCATTAAACGATGCGATTGTTTGGTACATAATTAAATGATTATTTTTAATATTTGATCATTTCTTCGGGTTATGTTTTTATAGTCTACTAGCTGACCCAGCGAACTTCGTACCGCCGTAAAAATAGGGGCAGGTGGTAGAAGAGAAAATTTAGGGTTGTATGTATTTTTATACCACATTATAAAAAAATAAATATTGTCCAAAATAAAATTGTTGTTTTAGGGGTGTGTAACGTAGTGTTCTATCAATTTCCTGGGATAACATTCCTCCTAAACACTTAAGGATATGAAAAATTGATAGTAGCCGATTCTCAGACCCACGGAATATGCATATAAAATTTCATAAAATCGGTCAAGTCGTTTCGGAGGAGTATGGTAACTAACATTGTGACATGAGAATTTTATATATAACTAGCTGACCGAGCGAACTTTGTATCGCCATAAAAATATGGGTGGTAAAAAGGTGAAAATTTGTATTGTATGTATTTGTTAATGCCACATTATAAAAATAATTTTGGGGTGGACAACCCTTATCACTTAGGGGTATGAAAAATAGATAGTAGCCGATTCTCAGACCTACTGAATATGCATATAAAATTTCATAAAAATCAGTCACGCCATTTCGTAGGAGTAAGGTAACTAACATTGTGACACGAGAATTTTATATATAAGATAAGTAACTTTAGCTAAATATTCTATATGAGATAATATAATTATAACATTTAATTTTTTTTTACTAGAAGCAATTTCACTCGGTCTACTTTTTAGGCGCGTGCGTATTTTTCGCTATCCTTTTGCTAGTCAAATTTTCTTTAGATCTTAAAAAATCTAGCAGTTAAATCCTTAAAAATCTGAATATAATATTATCAAAAGTATTTAACGAGATTATTCTTTTTTGTTATAAATTAATAAAGATGCGAGTAAATTAATTCGAATAAGCTGTCTGACGCACTTTCTTGTGTTTATTTATTTATTACATTCGAAGCCAGACTAAGGCCTCTTTCACCAATATTCTTGTAACGGAAATTGAAAAGTCAATCTTGTTAAAACTTCATTCTGTCTCTCTTTGAATTTGAACAATTCGCAAAGATGGAGTTATGTGTTAAACGAGATAAGATCTTTATTTGAATTAAGAGTGTTGCTGTACGTGACTCTACCTAGAACTTTTATGAAATAGCTACACACTCAAGTCCCTACCTTTTTTGTTTTAAATCCAGTCTATTATTCCAGTCCAGTAATTCAGCGAATCAATCCAGTCCAGTACTGGACTGGATTATAATGTTCATATTATTGTAGCCTTTTAAAAACTGTTGAAATGGTAACTATAGTGACAATAGTTACAAAAAAAACTGTTCGAAAATTTTCACTGTCAAACTTCCAATCCAGTACTGGAATGACAGTCTACTCTATTCCATTGGCGCTAGAATGTGTGAGCTGGAATGAAAAGCAGACATTCAATAAAGTCACTGGACTGGATTACTCACTGGAATGGGAACATTCTAGTGCCGGTTCACATTACTCCAGTAGCAATCCAGTCTAGCGATTGAATCCAGCGCTGGAACGCTGAACCGGCCATGATAGATACCTACTCTGAAATAGGTCTGAATATAAAAACTGCTTCAATAATAAAAGATAATCGGATTCGATGTTCAAATTGCTTTTTAGCCGTCGTGATCTTGATCGTACTTGCAGCATGAGAAACAGAAGAAAATCGTTGAACAACCAACCTTATCGCCATATTATTAAGAAAGGATATTCACAGAAATGAGTGGAATATTCTAAAAAAATGGGTGCGTGTACTTATGTAGGCGCGTGAGAAGTTATCCTTCTTTGGCATCGTTTAAAATTAGTTTTTAATTGCATGCAAATAATTAATTACAATAAATTAATAAAAAGTCTGGAAAAGGACACAGTCAATAAAGTTCAGTTTTAATTTGAAAAAATAAATAAATAATCAAAATATTCAATTAAAATCGCTACTGAATATAATTTATTAGAACATATGTGATTTGCACTTGTATGAAACTCAAACACGTATTCCGAATATACAAACTAGAAACATGTGGATAAATATTATAAATATGAATACCTATAACTGTTACTTTATTACAAAAAATAAAGATGTGGTTTTTGGTTCTACTACACCAATGGTCAAGAGATGGCGCTGTAGTCTCCTGAATCTCGCTTTGGTTCCGTTGTTCCAGATTAATAAATACTTTTGATAGGCCTTCACAATGCAGTCGTTAGCACCCACTAAATAGGGGTTCTATTTCTATTTTGTTGGTAGATTTTCTTAATGTGCGGTAAACACAAAAGTAACGCATGAAGTTGGTCGCTAAAGCGACCAACTTCATGCTGTTAAAATTTTGTGTTACAGTGATGCGCGCGCATCTTAAAATTTCACTCTCATCATTTTTTCATAACGCGCCTAAAGAAGTATAACTTCAAAAAACTATCTGCTTCAGTTGTACTTCTACGCTATGAATTTTGAAATGAAGCCCTGTGTTTACATTAGAAAATTCGATATATTAGGTTGGCGAGAAAGTTTCTTCGCATTTTTTATGATTTTTTAAATTATTTTTTTAATAAAGTTTATTTATATTTAACTAAAGTATGTAGGTGCCATTTTATTCGATATTTTTTTCCCATCTTGTAAGTACTTAGCGATATGATCCCATTGCTATAGAAATTTCGGTGCTTCTGATCAAAAAAGCGCGACAAGTTATTTTGGCAGTCCTCTCGTCCGCAAGAATTCTGAAGAGATCAAAACAGGAGGAAATCTGAAGGTGCAAGGTCAGGACTATACGGCGGATGCATTAACACCTCCCAGTCAAACCCTCTTCATTTTTGCTGAGTGGCTAAAGATGTGTGAGGTCTAGCGTTATCATGATGAAAAACCATTAGCCGAAATTAATCAACAGAAGGTGTCCCTTTTGTTGATTCCCTTCGGCCGCTTTCTCTCAACTCCTTGCTGTAATATCATCTCTTGTTCGTAGTAGAGTGTACAATCGGTGGTCCTGCCTGGCGGCAACAGCTCATGATGAATAATGCTTTTCCAATCCCACCATACATACAGCATCACCTTGTTGTAAGTTAACCCGGGTTTCGCCAGTCTGCGAAGCCTGACCGGCCTTTGACCACGACCTTTTTCGCACGTTCTTGTCGTACGTGATCCACTTTTCATCACCAGTATCATTAGTACGGTTAGTCACGGTTAATTAGGTTTCTTTTAGTGAGCTTGTGAGGCACCCAAATATCGAGCTTTTTTGTGTACCCAGCTTTTTTCAAATGTGCCAAAACTGTTTTGTGGTCAATTCCCAGTTCTTCAGCTACGTCGTGACTACTGATATCTCTGCTCCACTTTTTCAAAAAAATGGCCTCCTTTTTATCCGTAACAGGGCGACCAGAGTGACATACATCTTTAACATCAAAATTTCCGGATTGAAAAACCTTAAACCAAATTTGTACTACTCTCACATAACACTGCACTAGGTCCATAAACATCACAAAAAAAATGTTGCTTGCGTTGCATTTTTACCTTTTTTGTAGTAAAATTTTAAAATGTATCTAATTTCTTCATTATATTCGCTCGTCTTGACAGTGAGAAA